AGGGGTTTGTGCCCCCCCCCCAGGGATGGCCCGTAAGGAAATACAAAGGGTCTGCCACACCCGACATTTCAAAGTAGCAGCCCCTTCCCAACTCCCAATGGCGTGGAAAGAAGCTCCCTCAGTCTTTTATTGCGAAAGAAATTAGAACAAACCGACCTCTATAATTTAGAATATTTTTTAAACCCGCAAATGACACAAATTACATGGCCATTTTATTGTAAGTTTACCGTCAAGACTGGTCGACAACAGCAAGCTCCCGTGCACCATTAGGTGCGCATGTGTAATGGGGGGGACCTCAGAGGGGAGACTGCTGAGGTCGAGTGTGGAGTTATAGAAGAGCACAGAGTTCGGCGTCCCGGCCCTGAGGGGGTGGGTAGAGAGAAAGGGAGGGTCAGCCCCTCAGGACGACCACCTGGCCACCTGGCACTCCACCTACATAGTCCCAGAGCCTGCCTCATCCAGCCCCTGGAAGGAGCCAGCCCTTGGGAAAGGCATCTTAAATGGATGAGTGGCTTCCTAAGGTCACAGCCAACGCAGCCTTTGAGGGTTGAAAAGGGTTCCTGCACCTCTCTGATGTCACGTCTGGCTGCCACCATAACCCTTTTCCTTTTCCACGAGCAGGAGTTCCAGTTCTGAATCCTGCCTTGATCTCTCACCTGGTACAAAAGCACACGCTGTTGATATCAGACCCTTAATATGGATCGCACTAAGTGTTCTGGTGAGTGAAAAAGAATCCTTAAGAAATCTGAGGAAATCGTGGGGCGGGGGCAGCTGAGCCTCTGGGGAGAGGGTGTGGCTGCCCTTCAGTCACAGGTGGGGAGATTCCCCGGGGTCATTTCGGTTGGGGGCGTCCAGCAATCGGGCCCTTGTGCCCCTTCCCTGTACGATACTCGCTTCCGGTCGGGTGGCACCAGCTGTCTCGCGAGGAAAGCGATTCTTGACAAAGAATGGTGAGAATGACCTCCCTCCCTTCCTCTGCCGACTACAGTGTCTCGTGGTTCTCATTTCAGGAAGCATCTCGCTCACCGAACACCAGAAGATGGATGAAGACGCCCAACCACAGGAGATGGCATCCACGAGCTTCTCGAGGGCCAGTCAGCCCAACGCTGAGGTCAAACAGAATGGGGACTCTGAGGGGAGGGGAGGGAGCCCTCAGAATCTGCCCATAGAACATCACTTTTCATGTAAAGAGTGTGGGGATGCCTTTCGGCTTAAGGTCCTCCTTGTGCAGCACCAGAGAATTCATAGTGAGGTGAAGGGCTGGGAGTGTGGCGATTGTGGGAAGGTCTTCAGGGTGGTCTCTGAGTTCAATGAGCACCGGAAGAGCCATGTGGCTGCAGAGCCCCGGCCCGGCCCAAGCCGGGCCCTTGAGGATGCCGTGGAAAACAGAGAGCAAATGGAGAAGGAGGCGAAGCCCTTTGAGTGTGAAGAATGTGGGAAAAGATTTAAGAAGAACGCGGGCCTCAGTCAACACCTGCGCGTGCACAGCCGGGAGAAGCCTTTTGATTGTGAAGAGTGCGGGCGGTCCTTCAAAGTGAACACCCACCTCTTTCACCATCAGAAGCTTCACATTTTGGAAAAGCCCTTTGCCTGCAAGGCATGCAGCAGGGATTTCCTGGATCGCCAGGAACTTCTCAAGCACCAGCGAATGCACACCGGCCATCTGCCCTTCGACTGCGACGACTGCGGCAAGTCCTTCCGTGGGGTCAATGGCCTGGCCGAGCACCAGCGCATCCACAGCGGCGCCAAGCCCTACGGGTGCCCCCACTGCGGCAAGCTCTTCCGCAGGAGCTCGGAGCTCACGAAGCATCGCCGGATCCACACCGGCGAGAAGCCGTACGAGTGCGGCCAGTGCGGGAAGGCCTTCCGGCAGAGCTCCAGCCTCCTGGAGCATCAGCGCATCCACACCGGGGAGCGGCCCTACGTGTGCGGCGACTGCGGCAAGGCCTTCCGGGGGCCCTCCGACCTGATCAAACACCGACGGATCCACAGTGGACTGAAACCCTACGAGTGCGACAAGTGCGGGAAGGCCTTCCGGAGGAGCTCGGGTCTCAGCCGCCATCGCAGAACCCACAGTGGAGCAAGACGCTGTGAGTGCAGTGAATGTGGCCGCGTGTTCAAGAGGCGGTCGGCGCTGCAGAAGCACCAGCCAACCCACCATGAGTAGACGTGGCCCGCAGCCCCTCGGCTGTCAGCGGGTTCCGGCAGGAACCCCGGGGCCCTAGAGTGGGATGGCAAGTAGTCAAAGGAGATGAACAGTTTTGTAGCGCTTATATATTTTATTGTCAGAAAGGTCAAAACCAATTTATACTGCCACCAGCAATTTCTAAGTGTACATTTCCCATTTTTGCCTCTCGAGAGGAGCTTTTTCCATTTTGATCGATTTTGGCTAGTTTTAATAGGCATAGAGTACCTTCAAGGCATTTAAATCCGCAGGCCTTGAATCTGAGGATGAGAGAAGAGAAACCCGGATGTGGGGGGTGAGTGTGGAGGGGGTTTCTTGGTCCTCCCTTCCACGCTCCCACCTCAGGGAAACTGAGACAGAGCTATTCAGTGATGGCGTCCATAGAACGTGAGCCCGACTTTCCCGAAGAGATCACCCCAAACTCTTTTGGCCTACTGGAATTTATAAATTTTTAGGGATGTAAATAGAATACTCAAATGGGTTATAATATTTAATTTATTAATTTAGTTATACGTACATATAATAAATCACATGTTATATAGAATAATATATTAATTTACAAAATACTCTGTTTTTCCCCCACGCTCCGTCCCATGAGATCATTTTGTTCTGACTCCTCTTTACCAACCCGAGGAGCCCCTTTTGAGTCATCGGTTTCAAAGCTCATTTAATGCTTTCCATCCACCTGAGCTGTGTGCCATGTAGCACTGTGACAATCCCTGCACAAGGCTTTCACTAGAAATTTCCTCCCAAGCCATATGTTCATGTTCATGTAACATTAGGACAATTTTTTTTTTTTAATTTGTTCTGTAGCTCTACAACATAATCACCTAAAGTATTGCATTTTCAAATGACCTTTAAAAGCCTTTTTTTTTTTTTTTTGGAAGCATCTAAAACTTGTCATTGTGAGGTCATGATCCTAGGTTAAGTTTTTTTTGTGTCCTCTTAAACTAATTCAATTCAGTGACTCACACATATCCAAAACTAGCGTCAATTGGGGTTTGTTTCGGGTTAACGGGTCTTGTCCTCAGCAACACTATTTCGTTCAAAATAAAGTAGTTGAGAGAGCATCCTCATCGTAACAGGAACGTCTCAAGGACTCAAGTGTAAAGTGACGCCTCCTTTTCAGGCACAATCGCCTCTCATGTGAGACCTAGATGGTACTTCTCAAACCCTCCGTTTCCAGCTCTCAACGGAGGTGATCACAGGACTACCTCCTAAGGTTATGGTGAGGACTGCGACGCCATGCCTGGCACCGAAGGATACTCAGTGAAAGGCATCTGCTGTCATCGTCGTAGTTATTGCTGTCATTCTATGGCTCATTAGTACCAGAACTGGGGATGGACCCAGGCCTCCTGACTCCTAGTCTCATCATCTTTCTCTCATGCGATGACTTAAATACTGTTTCCGTTTTCTTGCATGCGAATGGTACGTTCATCTCCTTTGACCAGTTATCGAGTTACCTTTGGATATATTGACTTTATACAGCAGTTCTTTCTATATCGATTGTGACGATCTCTTTTCCAATTTTATTGCTTTGCTCTTTGTAGCAGATTTATTACATTTTTGTTAAGCAAGCTTTTGATTTTTACTTATCCAAGCATTCCTTGTTGTCCGTTAAGTCGTAACTTTCATCGCTTTGGTAGTTAGATATGATGACATTTTCTTCTAGAATTTTAATTACAAATGAAAAGTTGAAAACCCTGACCCACCAGAAGGTGAACGTGCCAGGTGGGCAGGCTGGATGAGAATGGGCCAGAGAAGCAGGCTCACTCCTCATCCAAGCTGCAGACTCTGCATGTCTGTGGGCAGTACTTGACTATCCAACCTCGCCACTCAGGCACGCGAGAGAAATTTCCATCACAGATTGGCCAGAACACTCTGACTGTTCCTCAATCAAGCCCTAGCCATCAGCAGTAGGGCTGGGCCTCACCTAGATCAATGGGGTGGTCCAAACTTGGTCTTGGCAGCAGCCAGGCCATCCTTTGAGCTCCTGGGAGCCTTGGCCATGCCTGGCGTGGATTCAGTGCCTGAACAACAGATCCACCCAAGAGACATCTCAAACACGAGAAGACTCACCTGACGATGCTGTCACGTGAATCGCATCCTCCTCTTAGCGAGTGACTCTGGAACAAGAAAGAGGTCGGTTTGGTGGCTTCCACTTCTGTCAACTAAGGGGAAATTCACCCACGTGTTCTGACGTCACCTGCAGCCACACCTAAGAGGGACAACAGAGCAAAGGCTCGGAGAGGAACCGTGCCCCTCTGATGGCCTGCGTGTCATGGTGATAGAAGCTGGCCGCACCAGGCCTGGGCTGTGACTTACAGCAGCTGTGCCCAGGAGGGGCAATAAAACAAGGGTTTGGAGGGCAACCATGCCCTTCTGATGGCCTGTGTGGCATAGAAATAGAAGCTGGTCATCCTGGGGCCGGGCTGTCACTTCTAGCACCCTCCCCCAGGAGGAACAGCAACAAGGGCTAGCCAGGAGCCTGGCCCCTCCTGCAGAGCCTGCAGGTAGAAGCCGGCCACGCTGGGGCTACGGCGTGACTTCCCAGCAGCTGTGCCCGGAGTAGGGGGGCACTGAAGGGCCTGGAGAGGAAGTGTGCCCTTCTGATGGGCCCACCGAGGCTGAGGCGGACCTTCCCAGGAGCCGCAGTCCTGGGAGGCAGGGTCTCACAGTGACCCCTTTGACCTTAGCCAGAAGGTACTCTGGAATGGCCCCCAAGCCACACCAGTGGCTCTCTGCGACATCTCCATCCTGAGCCCCAGGCTGGAGAGCCGCCGACAGCATTTGTTACATAGCGATTCCTTTTGCTCCGTGGGCTTCAGTTCTTGCAGTAGTTGTGAATCTGTGTCTGAGATTGCTACTTCCTTCTCTCAGCAGTTTTCTCTTTTCAAGCTGTTATGATGTGTTTGATCCAAGTGTCATTTGGTAAGGAATGGTGACGTCCACGACGGGCAAGTCTGGCACCTGTACCCGCAAGTACTCCGCCATTTCTTGCCCATTCACTAGGCATTTGTCAGGTTATATGAAGGTTCCAGATGCAGTATTAACTCGGAACTTAGCATCGTTGTCACTGCTCCATTTTCCCCAGCCGGGACACCGTGTCCTGGCAACCCCGTCACACCCTCCTTTACTTTTTTTCAATTCCCGGTTCTATCATTTTCTCTCAAACAAACCCTCTTCCAGAGTTAACACTAAAGACCGCATCTTTTCCGTCACTGTGTTTGCGGGTGAAGTCCATGCTCTCCAAACGCAAGCAGTCTGTGGCTTTCACGTGTTTCCTGTAGCCGCGCCGAGTTCTGTTCTGGCCTCTGGTACCTTGGGGGTGGATTTTCTGGGATTCTCTAGGTATACTGCTACGTCAGATGCAAAATGTGATTGAGCTTTCTGTCGTGTGTGCTTGTCTATGCATTCGTGTATCTACCTCATTTCATTTTTCTTTCTAATCACATGGAATCCTTTAACAAGGGAAATGAGCAGTTGGGTTACAAGTATATCCTTTTCTTATATTCTGAAAGAAACCCTCCATGGCTTTTATTAAAGTTTTGAATACTTGCTGAAATTTTCAAAAGAAAGTAATTGTTTACTGTTTTTGCTGCTTGAGATTAACCGTGTTGATTAGTTGTGCCATACTCATTCTCACATTTCCAAAATGAGCCCCGCCCGATTACAGTGGGCCTCTTTCTCACGTGGTGTTCCATTCCGAGTGCCCCCGGCTTCGGCCCTGTTGTGTGCCATGTGACCCCCGACCCCCTGTTCTAGGCCACATTAATTAAAGCAGAACTGATCACCTAACTCGAGGGCAGCAAACGGTCGCCAGAGCTGGCTGGAGATGACGGGCCGGGCCTTTCGGATTCTGCGAACGATGGAAAATAAGAAGGTTCTAGTTGGTATTGGAAGAAAGAGAGCGCCTCGCGGTATTTACAGGAGTTGGGCGAGCGGCACTGGCTTGAAGATCTATTGGTTCCTGCGAAACACCCCAGAGCCGCCTCAATCCCAGCACCCCGAGAAAGGCCCGGCCTCATTATGTTCTGATGGCTGCCCTCATCGGTCCACTTGTGTCCCCACCATCGACTTCTTTGACTTGAGCCAGCTCAAGTGGGCCTCTGCATTTTGCAGTCTGTCAAGAGCCAATTGCATTTTACCATTTTGCTGCTTCCCGAGAAGTATCGCGTGATTGGCTTTTCTCATGTTCTACCTGGCCTAAGTCCCACCTGACTTGTAAACACCTGTTTAAATGTGGTACTGTATTCTGTTCACTAAGAGGGGTGAAATATCTATGCCTTCTAGTTTCAGCGAGTTTGACCAATGCTTTTCTGTCATTATCATTCGTGTACTGACCCCAAGTTTGCTCCATGAAAGGAGTTAAGTCCCCACCCACCACGTTCTTGATTTTGGAAGTGTCTCCCTATTTCCAGCAAGTTTATCAGAGTGAGGAATTGATAATTTCTCTATTTCTATGTATACTTAACATTCTGTAATTGTCATTGCATCACTTTGGGTGTTTACTTTCAACAGTAGAAATGGGCTCTTTAAACTTGGCCTTCGGCGTTATTTGCATATCTAAGAACAGTAGCTATGTCCTGCCCCAGTTTGATTTCGGTTGTTGGCACTTTTCTCTTAACTCCCAGTCTCCTTAACTTGTCTGTTTTATGGCACTTACTATAATCAGCCTTGCACTAGAGCTTTGCCCTCCCCCTCCCCCACCCAATAGAGTGTGAGCTCTTAGAAGACAGGGGTGGCCCTTCATGTCTAATTCCCCTACCAGATCTAGCACAGTGCCTTGCATCAAGTAGATTTCAATAAATATATGTTAAATGGCATCGGTCGTGTTGACTCATTTTCTCGAAGCTTACTTTATCCGTTCTTCCGTGCCTTTCTCCACACTCTCGAGTTCTGCTCCCTCCTGGGGTCCAGATGCTGGCTTGGCCTCTGCTCGCTGGCCAGAGGGGAGGAGGCACCCTGATGAGGGAGGACTGGTTTTTCTGGAAGTTTGAGCTCCCCCTTGGCAGAAGAGGCCTATCATTCAGCCAGGTGCCTTCCCCCCTCCCCCTCCCCCACCCCTTCCACTGGCTGGGGCTCTTCCCGAAGCTAAATTCCATTTGGGAACAAGAGCAGGCTGGACCCTGAGTTCCTCCCCTAGGGACTGGGAGTGGGGTAACAGGAGTGGTTTCTCAGAATCTGCCAGCCTCTCTGCGCTGGGTGGGGGTGGGATTGGAGAGGTCAGTCCTGGTGACCAGTGGTTGGCCCTCTCTCTAATGACCATTGCCTCAGAAAAGGCAGATAGTAAGGAAAGGCCTCTGGCTTCCTGACCCTCCAAAATGCCAACAGGACTCAGCTGTGGAGTTTGCCGCCAGGCCCTGGAAGGACAGGCACACAGTAGGAGTACTTGGGTTGGGCCCTGTGGGCCACGCCGTACCCCAACAGGAGGGAGCAACATTGAAAAGGACCATGATGCCCCCCACCAACCCCGTCTCCCTGGAGGTTCCCAGGCAAGGACCTTGTCATCTTTCCTCCAGGATCCCATCCTCAGCACGTTGTCAATTGACAACTAGGCAGTGGGTGTGACAGCACCTCACCCCAGCCCGGCCATCTCTGCTTGCAAGCCAGAAAGAACCATTTGGAACCATTCATTTGCTTTGCTGGTTTCATTGTGCTTGCTACTGAGAATTCCACCTATTTCTTTCCTTAAAATATGTGCAAACTGTTCTGGCAACCTTCGGTTGTACAAAAGTCACCTAATACCAGACACTAGGCAGAGGGAACAGCCTGGGGCTTTTCTCTTGAGGCCCTGTGTACCTCTAGTAGGGGTTTGAGAATGTTCCTTTCTGCCCTCTCCTAGTGCCCCTGCTTTCTGGAACCCTGTAGTTTCTCCAACATTGCCCTCCTATGAGGCCCCCCAGAAGTCGTCTGCTGGCCTGGGAGTTCACAGTCCTCAGAACCCCACCTCGTTGCCCTAGTCCGGGTTCCCAACCACAGTCCTCTGCCCCGAGCCACTGCTGTCCAGCTTGCGGCTCACCTGGGAGGAACCACTGGCACCGTCTTAATCTGTTCAGGATGCTATAACAAAAATATACCGTGAGTCAGGTGATTTTATAAACAGACATTTATTGCTCACAGTTCTGGAGGCTGGAAGTCCAAGATCAAGTTGCTGGCAGAGCCAGTGTCTGGTGAGGACCTGCTTCCTGATTCACAGATGGCTGTCTTTTTGCTGTGTCTACACATGGAAGGGGTGAGGGAGCTCTCTGGGGTCTCACAAGGGCACAAATTCCATTCACAGGATCTCCACCCTTGGGACCTAATCACCTCCCAAAGGCCCCAGGTCCTAATATGACCACCTTGACGATTAGGATTTCAGTGTATGAATTTCATAGGGCCATCGATATTCAGCCCATAAGTCAGGTAGGTAGAAAGGAGGGCTTCTGCTTTGATGCTCACTGCATTTTAGCTTGGTCTCCTCCTAACCCATTAGCCTCAAGTTTCCACCATCACCATCCCCTCCAAGAGCACCTGCTGTGGCCCAGGTCATCGTCAAAATGCTGGGCTGAAATGCATTTCATTCCCATGGCTGACTGCCAGGGCGGACACCTTAGGCCTGAAACCATCACACTAGTGATGAGACAAAGAAAGAATAGAGTTGCCCACCTTTAATAGGTGAGGGTACCTGGGCTTCTCTTGAATTTATGCATTTATGAGTTTGGTTTATCCGCCAATAAACTATTTGAATTTTTTCCCCACTGAGAACCTATCACTTTAATTAAAAGATATTGAAATATATAATAAAAACATGGCTCCCCAATGTTTTTCAGGCAAGACAAGTCATAAAAACCCTGTGTTACCCCATCCTTACTTCTTTCCTGACCTGGCATTCAACAAGCATTGAGCACCTGCTGTATGCCAGGTTCCAAAAGCAAATGACATAATAATCCCTGACCTGAAGGATAGAGCGCCAGAGTAAGACAGACTTGTATCCAAGATGTCAGCACAAGTGGGACCTATGTTCACCAAGCTGGGCTCCTAGGATTTGTGTACTTCAGTGGATGCCGGTTACACTTCAATTTAAAAACTACAAAGCCAAATACACACAGTATTAGCAAACGATCCCTCCCACCACGCTCAGGTCCTGCTGATTTTACATCCCAAGGCCCTCCACGCCCATCCCTGGCTGGGAGGGGGCCTCTCCCTCCTCCCTGGGGCCCCTGGTGATTTCAGGCCCAACCTCACTGCCTGGGAGTGGCCTGTACCCCCAGACTGGGAGCCCCTGAGTCAGGGTAGGGCGCATCCACCCTGGCTCCCAGCACTCAGCCCTGGGCCAGGCCCAGGGCAGGCCTCTGGGTGGAGGAAGGTGTCCTGTGAGTGGGTCCGAGGACACGGCTCTCCCGCCCCAGGACTGAGGTGGCGGGGACCAGACTGGACCGGATGCAGCCTCAGCCCAGGCCTCCCTCCCCTCACCCGACCCCCAGCCAGGATGAAGCCGTGGAGATGATGGAGCAGATCGTACGCTGGGTGCGGGAGGACCCGTCCGGGCCGGGCCGGCCCCAGCTTCCGGGGGCCCTGGCCTCGGAGCCCATGGCGGTACCCATGATGCTGCTCAACCTGGTGGAGCAGCTCGGGGAGTCAGACAAGGAGCTGGCGGGCAACTACGTGGAGCTGGGGGACTGGTGTGCCCAGAGGATTCTGTGGCACGTCCAGGTGGGAAGCGGAAGGCTGACGCCGGGGCCAGACAGGGCCTGGGCGCTGGGTGACAGGGCAACCCCCACCCCTCAGGGCACCTCCTCCACCCCCACCCCACCCCCGACCTGGGCCCTAATGGGGAGACACAGGGAAGCTCGGCCAGGGCAAGGCGTGGCCCAGGACCCTCAGGAAGGTAGAGGGCCCAGGGAGCCTGGTGGGGCAGAGGGCAGGAGGGAGGGTGCCAGAGCCCCAGGCGCATCAGAGAGCAGGATACCCCGTCAGACCTAAGTCCTTCCAGGTCTCTGTGTGTTCCAGTACAGCCACTTTGGTGGCAGTGGTAGCATCTCCCGGTTGGAGATGGCAGGTGGGTGGCAGATGCCTGGAGGATTGGAGTACAGCCTCGGCCTTGACTCAGAAGGCCCCTGGAAGCCAGGAGCTGCTTTCAAGCTCGATGGCTGGATGGCAGGGCCTACATGGGGTTTGGGAACTGTTGGCTCTGAACTTCAAGAGCTTCACAGCAGCAAGCCAGCTATAGAAGAGCATGGAAGGGCATGAAAGACAAATTTGGCCAATGCTAGATGGCCAAGGGCAAATCTCAAATCTCACTAGCAGGGAATGAATTCCTGAGATTCAGTAATAACTCTGAAATTTATCTCCAAACATACCTGTTATTATAATTTTGTAATCCACTCTCACCCTCTGACCATCAGGGTTGGCCTGGCACGGGAACTGTGATCTTAGTTGCCTGCGGCTGACTCCTTGGGTCCCTGTGCTGCACACTTGCCCCCTTTGGACTGGCCACTACATGATGACGCCTGATGCTTTTTGGACTTCAGAAGCAAGGTAACAGTATCATGTTTTCCAGAAGGAACTTTGTACCCAGGATTCACAGTTTGATCAAATCTCTAAAGCCCTTTGTCTTTAGTTAATGAGAACAGTTGGTATCTACAGCAGTCCTTATGACAAGATTTCCTTTACATTTTTCAGCGATTTTTTTCCTAAAGCATTTTGTAAAGTCTGGTTTGAAGTTAGTTTAGGTGAGATCAAAATGTGCTTCGAGAACCTCATTTTTCTCTCAAACTTGATTCTTCATATGTTCACCTCCTTTATTATTTTAGCATCAGAGACGATTTATCAAAGACAATTGTATACAACTTTGGAGATTTTCCTCCTGGAGGTTCGGATTTATTTCATTCTTGCAAAATGAGAATTCCTTGTAGGACTTTTTCTGAAAACACTCATGACCTAAATAGAATCAAACAACTGAAAACTAAATCTCATTCTTAAAGTGCTTTTACATCGCGCTACAAATGCCGCGCCCATATACCAAACCCGTGAGTAAGATTATTATCCTGTGTTGTATTATTTTTTAAATGTATAAACAATTTCTGCACATGTACATGCATATACGTACATATATGCCAGCTTCAACAAAGAAACCAGCTATAATGCAGCAACTTAGAGAAGACAGAAGATTATTCCTCGTTCACGTAAGTCATAGCTCAGCTGTCCAGGTTGATGGGGCAACCTCACTCCACAGTCACTCAAGGACCCTGGCTCTTTCCATCTGCTTTCTCCCCTTCCTCTACAGTAGTACTTCTCAAACCACCTACGGTAAAAGATCAGTTGATGTCTCCCAATCCAGCGCGGACTAAGGCTTTTGACATGCAATAAAGATGTCATGGTGATGCCGAATTGCTATAAAACCATCGCGAAACTTCCTCCTGATGTCTGTACTAGCCTCGTCATAGACCTCTAGAGCATGGCTTGTGCCTGCGCAGTGTGATCCAGGGACTGTGCTGAGGAGCTCGGCTCAAGGGCATTGCTTCAACTGTGGGGTCAGCTCCCAAATGGTCACCCCCATGCCCTTGTTCCCCCCAACTCCACACTTCATTGGCATTTTCTGATAACTAGCGTGATCATGTTGAGCATCTTTTCAAATATCTATAGACCACCGGCATTGACACTTCTGTAAACTGCTTGTTCATATTCTTTGTTATTTTTCCCATTAACTTGTAGTTCTTTTCATATGATTCATATTAACCCTTCATCTGTCATACATATTGCGTACGCTTTCTTCCACACTTATTTATTTTTAACTCGGTTTATAGTGCATTTATTGTATGCAATAATTGCAAAAGTCGTATTT